TGTTGGTATGGGATCCCACATGGGGCCTAGTTATTAGCTGTGTTTTTATGGAATTTGAAGAACATTCTCTGTTTTAGGCCTACTTGGGCTCCCTTTTACTTTTGCCTGAACTAGAAACATTTTCATTTAATTTACTTCCAATTTCCATCCTTCTTTGTTCTTCACTCTGTTCATTTTGGAGTGTTGCATTCCTTGACTACTGTGACTTATTTTCTAAGGATTAGTTTATAGCCTATTATAACCTCTGACTCCAGCTATTTCAGTTACACTTCTGTTTGATGTACAGACTAAGTTCCATTCTCCGAGTTTCCCTTTCTCTACTACATCTGTTCTGATGATGCAATCTTCCAAATTGGTTCTTCTCATTTTGTCCCCCATTCCCCCTGCCTCCCCAAACCAAGGATTCTTGATACACTGACCCTTGGCCATTGTTGTCAGGACCCTTGATCATGTTTGTCTCATTTCCTGTTCCTCAGTTTTCACTCCATCTGACTCTCCTAGAACCCTGGCAGAGTTCTTATTGTGTTCTGCTGCCACCACCCCAGTTTCCATGTTAAATAGATCTCCCTCTACTGTTTCTATCACCTATCAGCAAATGCCACCATAAGCATATCTTTCTCTCCTCTCCCCTTTAAACATTTCTAAGGGACTATTCATTTGAAATACCCTAACCCATGGCCCAGTTAATCATAAACTCTTCCTTTGGTACTTCCATGAAAAGTTCAGAAGATTAAACACCTGCCTTTTTACCATCCAAGGCCTGAAATAGACTTTTCAGGTAAAACAGCGGTTTAAATGTAACCTTAAGAAACAACAACTTGTCTTTTGCTTTGTCATTTCCCAGCCACCCACACTCAATATTCAGTCTATAATCGCTGTCCTCCATTTTGTTTCCTTTCTCGTGCATGTTTAGTTTCACTCTTGTTTGTCTCTTTTCTTCTGTTTTCAGATGGCATCAGGTTGTCATTCTGCCGTTGTCCTCAAGATGCAACTTTGATATCTAGTCCATTTGGTCATTTAATTTTTCCTGCCTTCTACCTAATCATAACCCTCCTTTTTTTTGTTTTTCCATCGTCTTCCTTTCACCTATTACATTTTTAACTTTTTGCTGTTCTGATGAATAGCCATCTAACTGAAACATTCTCTCTCTTCAAGTTCTGCCTAACCTGCTGGGTATGTCCATGCTTTTCTATTTTATTTTGGATTTCCAGCACCAAAGGTATTTTGATTTTTGTACTGACTTTTTGCATTGACATCGTTTACAATTTGGCACTGAATAGCAGTATAGATGCTTGAACATTGGGCAAATACATGTCACGGCATGAAGACTTTTGATGAGCTCTTTAAAAGGGAGAGGGGAGCCTCTGCACAAAATTTTAAGTAGGATTCCAACAACCATACTTGTGCATATGTAATGCCTTTCATTGAATGAAATAGCCCTAAGTGCTTCAGAGGCACAGAAAGCTTATTCAAGTTAGTAGGTTTAGGGTTTGTTTGAAATAAGCATAGTGAGGTAAAGGGACAAAGAAGTGTAGGGAGGGAATTCCAGAGTTTGTGCCCTAGGCAGTTGAAGCCATTGGCCAGGTAGACCAACCAAAATTGAGGGTGTACAAAAAGTTGGAGTTAAAGGAGTGCAAATATCCTTCCAAGAAGTGAGGCTGGAGCTGATTAGAGAAGTAGTAGGTGAGGCCAATGGAGGGATTTAAAAACAGAGAATTTTAAAATCCTGACATTGCTTGACTGGCGGTATGGTGGCACAGAGGTTAGCACTTCTGCCTTACAGTGCCAGGGACCCAGTTTGATTTCAAAGAAATCTGTGACTGTGGATGACATGGATGCCAGTGTGGAGTTCACGCAATTTCCCCTTGTCTGCATGGGTTTCTGCCGGATGCTCTAGTTACCTCCCGCAGTTCAAAAATATGTGCAGATTAGGTGGATTGGCAATGCTAAATTTCCCTGTAGTGTGCAGAGGTGTGCAGGCTAGGTGGATTAGCCATGGTAAATGGGAAATTGTGTGGATCTGGGTGGGATGCTGTTCGGAAACTTGGTGCAGACTCAATGGGTCAAATGTCCTCTATCTGTGCTATGGAGATTCTATGATAGGGAGCTATTTTAAGGTGGCAAACACTGGCACGATAGGAGAACAGTGCTTGCTGCAGATTAAGACATGAGCAGCAGAAGTTTGTAAAACCATAAAAAGTTCACAGGGTCAGAAATCGCACGACACCAGGTTATAGTCCGAGACAACAAGGTGCAGGGCTGGATGAACACAGCAGGCC